AAAGAAAGAAAGAAAGAAAGAAAGAAAGAAAGAAAGAAAGAAAGAAAGAAAGAAAGAAAGAAAGAAAGAAAGAAACAAGAGGTTGGGACCAGAGGCTGGTCATTCTGCTCTCCTCAGAGAGAGGGGGTACCAAGATAGAATTATATCTATTTGCTCCCTTAAATATTATTAATGGGGAGAAAGGAAGTGGAAGCGTCCATTTAGATGGATGGACCAAGTGAGAGTTTAGATTGTCTTGCTGGAATAAGGGCTCAGTTGGGATTATGAAACATAAATTTGTAGTGGACCCAGTGGCAACACATGAGTAGGTGTAAAGGCAGCAAATGGAGGGAGTAATACAAGGTTTATGCTTGGCAGAGCAACATGGGTGATAAGATAAGAGGTCAAGGGACTAGAGAGGACAGCACAGAGTTGAACTGGTTCACCAATGGAGTCAAGATGGGTAAGGGAGGAGAGTGTAGCCAGTACAGGGGTGATAGCATGGGAAAGATTGAAGGGATTGATGAAGACAAAGAACAGGCATAGGGTTGGAAAGATCAGGGAGAGGTGGGATGACAACAGATTGGGATCAGATGGGGAAATTTTAGAATCCATGAATATGGAAGTAGGTGATGGCAAGATAAATGGTATGACTATCTCTGAGTGTAGCTGAGGTGGGGTAGAGGAATAGATCATGGGAAATAAGTAAATTGAGGAACAGAGAGGTTAGAGGTTTGCAACAGTATCTATCCATCTATCCATCTATCTATCTATCCATCTATCTATCTATCTATCTATCTATCTATCTATCTATCTATCTATCTATCAAGTCCTCAAGTATGAGGGCATTTGGGGAGGAGAGAGAGACTGAGAGCACTGAATTCACTGAGGAAAGAGGGGGAATACCCGGGAAGTCAGTAGACAACAGTTACCAGAATTTTGACTAGGTGTTGTTGTTGTTCATCCTTCATTTTCAAAGAGGACCAATGACATCATGGGGTGATGTCTTGACTTGCACATGAATCCGATTTAAGCAAGGTAGAACTTTATAAAGTTGTCAGCCTCACCCTCTCTTCCTGAGTCATCAAAGTCCAATGGCAAGAGAAAACTCAGGATGACTGGTGATGGCTTGGGATGCAGTGGATGACCTTGAAGTCTTTGAAATCTGACCAAGCTCTAAGCACTCCACAGTGCCTTCTTCAGCTGCCTTCATGGGCCATTGGAACACATTGTCCTCACCGTCCCCCATTCTGCTGAGGGAAGTTTTCACATGCTTGGTGTAGATAGCCCCCTAACTTGCCAACGATTTGAGGTCTGAGATTGGATGGTAGAGATGAGTTGAATGAACTTCAAAGGAAGACAGTTACTGAGTGAGGGTGGTAGAGGGAGAATTTGGACATGGCAAAGGGAAGCAAGGAATATTCCAGTTCCCCCACTTTGACCAGTGGTGGGTGGTGAGAGGGGGGTGGGAATGAGTGAAAGTACAGCCAATACTGGAAAAGGTTGCATCATCAGGAGGGAGCCAGGCTTCAGTGAGAGCCAGAAGATGGAAGGAGTGGGAAAGAAAAGGTTTAAAGATGAAAACAAGTTTTTTACCTATGGAGTTCCAGGGTAAGAGTGAGGAGTTGAGGATAATATTGAGATTGGGAGACTAGTGACTAGGTAGTGCTCTCCACAGTAATAGGGAAGGATCTGGGAAGAGAGGAAAGTTGTTTTTCATTCTTTAAATAATTATACTTTCTTTTTTTCTTATTTTTTAAACAATTTATTTATTAATTTTTAGTTTTCAACAATTACTTCCATGAGATTTTGAGTTTTAAATTTTCTCCCCATCCCTTTCCTTCTCCCTACCCAAGATGGCATGCAACCTGATATAGACTCTACTTATACATTCATATTAAGCATATTAGTCATGATGTAGAGAAGAATTAGAACGAAATGGGAGGAACCATGAGAAAGAAGAATCAAAACAAAATAACAAAAGAAAAGGAGAGCAGATAGTATGCTTCCATCTGCATTGAGATTCCATAGTTCTTTTCTGGGTGTGGATAGCATTCTCCATCATAAGACCTTTGGAGATGTCTTAGATCCTTGCACTGCTGAGAAGAGCTAAGTCTATCAAAGTCAGTCATCACTGTGACTGTTACTGTGTGCAATGTTCTCCTGGTTCTGCTCACTTCATTCAGCATCAGTTCAGTCTTTCCAAATTTTTCTGAAGTCCACCTGCTCATCATTTCCTATAGCACAATAGTATTCCATTACATTCATGTACCACAACTTGTTCAGCCATTCCCCAGCTGATGGGCATCCCCCAATCTCCAATTCTTGGCCACCACAAAAAGAGCTGCTATAAATATTTTTGTACATATGGGTTCTTTTCCCGTTTTTAGGATCTCTTTGGGATACAGCCCTAGAAGTGGTATTGCTGGATCAAAGGGTATGCACAGTTTTATAGCCCTTTAGGCATAGCTCCAAATTGTTCTCCAGAATGGTTGGATCAGTTCACAACTCTATCAACAATGCATTAGTGTTCCAATTTTCCCACATCTTCTCCAACATTTATCATTGTCCTGTTTTGTCATGTTAGTCAATCTGGTAGGTGTGATGTGGCACCTCAGAGTCATTTTGATTCACATTTCCCTAGTAAGTAGTGATTTAGAGCATTTTTTCCTATGACTATTGATAGCTTTAATTTCTTCCTCTTAAAACTACCTGTTCATTTTCTTTGACCATTTATCACTTGAAGAATGACTTGTATTCTCATAAATTTGACTCAGTTCTTTATATATTTTAGAAATGAGGCCTTCATCAGAGACACTGGCTGTAAAAATTGTTTCCCAGCTTTCTGTTTCCTTTCTAATCTTGGTTGCTTTGGCTTTGTTTGTGCAAAAGCTTTTCAATTTAATGTAATCAAAGTCATCCATTTTGCATTTTATAATGTTCTCTATCTCCTGTTTGGCCATAAATTCTTCCCTTCTACTTTCTTTTCTTTTCTTTTTCTTTTCTTTCTTTTTTCTTTTTTTGGAGACAATCAGAGCTAAATGACTTGCCCAGGGTCACACAGCAAGTAAGTGTCTAAGGCTGGATTTGAACTCGGGTCCTCCTGATTCCAGCACCAGTGCTCTATCCACTGTATCACCAGCTGCCCCCTTAACATTTCTTTAAAAAATTTTGAATTCCCAATTTTCTTCCTCCCTCCTGCTCATGCCTCCCTCATTGAGACAGCAAGCAATATGATATCAACCATACATGTGAAGTCATGCAAAGCATTTCCGTATTAGACATTTGCAAAAAAAAAAAGCAAGAAAAATTAAAAAGTGAAAAAGTATGCTTCAATCTACACCCAGAGTTCATCAGTTTTCTCTCTGGATGTAGACAGCATTTTTCTTCAGGGGACCTTTGGAATTGTTTTGGATCATTATACTGATCAGAGTAGCCTAAGTCTTTCACAGCTGACCATCATTGCACTATTGTTGCTACTGTGAACAACGATCTCCATTTTTTCACTTCACTTTGCATCAGTTCTTGTAAGTCTGCCCAGGTTTTTCTGAAACCATCCCAGGGGAAGAGTTTGAAGGGAAAGATCATGAGTTCTGTTTGGGACACATTGAGTTTGAGATGTCTGTGAGACATCCAGGTCAAGATATCTAATAAGCAGTTGGTCAAAGACCATAAAGCTCAGGAGAGAGATTAGGGCTAGATAAATGGATCTGAGAACCATCTGTATAAAGAGGATAATTGAACCCAGATGAGCCGGTGAAATCATCAAGTGAAATAACATAGAGGGAGAAGAGAACAGAGCTCAGGACAGAATGTTAAAGGACACTCATAGTTAGTAGTTGGTGACCCAGAGAAAGATTGAGCAAAGGAGACTAAGGACCAGTCAGCCAGGTAAGCCAGGAGAATTGGGGCAGAGCAGTGTCCAAACTCAATGATGTATTTATTTAACTCTAATGACCGAGTTTGGCCCTGAAGAAGAGATACAAGAGTTGTGTTTGTCAGTTTGTTCAATATACTCTTTTTTCATTTTTGTTATAAGGGATGGCTCTGGGATGGGGAATACCATATGAACATAGAAACAAGATATGGATGTATTTTTTAAATTCTTCCAAATAAAGGGGTTGCTTCTACCTCTAAAATCCGAGGAATTCCTATTTTTCACTGGGCTTCCCTTTCCAGCCCCAAGCCTGATAAAGATACCTCATCGACCCCTCAAAATAAGCAAAGCTAAGTTAGGTCCAGCTGTACCTTGGGACCCTGGGGTGGGGCAGAAAGTTCATTTCAGGAGGCCCCAGTGGAGATGGTACCACAATGTGTCATCAAGAGTCAGGACGAATGGGGTAACCAGACTATTAACACCTGACTGTCTGAGTCCTAAAAAGCACCCAGGACTGTACTAGGTACAGTGGGGGAAGGAATGCCAAAGAAGCAGAAGGCTCAGTGCCCTTCTAACAATCCCCTGAGACAACACACACATATAAACAAACACAACGAAGTATAAACAGCCACAGAGAGCAAAAGCCTGTGTCATCAGCAAATGTGAGCTGACCCAGGAAAGTTGTTTTATTAGGACTCCCTCTGGAGTTGGGTATGCCATGCCTGGAAGGTGGGATTAGGGAGGGGACAGGAGCCTACTATGTACCAGGCACTGTGCCAAATATTATCTCATCTGATCCTTATAACAACCCTGGAAGGTAAGTGCTATTATTATTGTCCCCGTTTTGCAGATGAAGAAACTGATGCAGGCAGTGAGTGGGTAAGCGAACTACTCTGGGTCACACAGCTATTGTCCGAGGCTGAGAAACAGCTAGTGTCTGAGACTGGGTTTAAACTTAGGTCTTCTTGACTCTAGGACCAGGGCTCTATCCGGTCCCCTTAAGCAAGGGGGTGGACTGGGGTTGGGGCAGTACAACAAGGCTGAATAATCTGGAAGATGTAGCTTCTTTTGGAGCTAGGACCAATAATCCACCCATCGTTTGCTTCATTCCTTCCTTCCTCCCTATCCCATTCAATTCAATTCAATTTGACAAGCATTTATTAATCACATGTTACAAGCCACACACAGTAGGCCCCAGAGATTCACAGACAAAAAACAAAACAATCCCTGACCTCAGAGAGCTTCCTTTCTATCAGGAGAAAACCAACCCCTACACAGATAATCAAATACAAAATGATTCTGGGGTTGAGAGAAGGTGCAGGGGAGGCAGGGAGGGGGCCTACAGAAGAAGCAGAGAAGGCATCATGTAGGAGATGTTGAGCCTAGAAGATGGGTCGGGGGTTCCAAGCTGAGGAGGGGAGAGCATTCCAACATCCATCCATCTTCCGGGTTGATAAATGGAGCGTACAGGGGACTGGGAGACACTCTCCTCCTCCCCCTTATCACACACACAAACACTGACTGCCCCAAGGAGAAATGGAACTTGCTTTCCCCATGCAGGAATAATCAGATCAAGGGAAGGTCCTTGACTTGAAAAGTGCCCAGTCCTTTCTCCTCCATTCTTAATTCTAGAAGATCCAGAGGTCCCCAGGCTCATAAGCATAAAACAATCTCTGACCAATCAGAGACATGGAGAGCGGGTTTCCGGGTCTAGAACTGGCCAGGCCAAAGTTCTGACCCCGCCCCCTCACTTTGGGTTTCTCAGTCTCTCTCTCTCAGTCTCCACGTGAGCCAACTTAAATATCAGTTTCTCTAAGCAGGTTGCTTTCTTCTGCATCCTTTTGTAACAGCTGATCCTGGGGCCAGAAGGAGGACTTCTTGACCTCATGTGGGTGCTCATTGGAATCCTGCAAAAGAGAAGAGGGAGAAGATCAGAAACAGGTCCAGCCCTGAGGAGGGGCCTCGAGGACCCTCTCTCAGTGTCAATTCTTAAAGGGTGTCCCTAAAGTCCTAGTGTGGTTTGAGAAGATTTTTATATGATTTGCCCTGTCTTTCTTTCAAACTGTTATGAAAAATCAAAAGAGAGAATGCATAGAAAGATGCTTCAAAAATTGTAAATAGACTTTAGATTGTTCATTCCTTCAAGTCCTAGATGAGTCCCTATGGGAATGTACAATACGTCTGTCCAAGAATTCTTTCCCCCAATGTTCGCTCATGAGGCAGGTAAGGGATAGGGCAGGGGTAGGGAACCTGTGCCCTTGAGGCTGCATGCGGCCCTCTAGGTCCTCAAGTGCAGCCCTTTGACTGAATCCAAACTTCACAAAACAAATCCAATCTTGAGACTGCACTTGAGGATTTAAAGGGCCACATGTGGCCTCAAGGCTGTAGGTTCCCCACCCGTAGGATAGGGGAAGGGTTACTAGCTGGAGTGTTTATCTGGTAGGCAAGTCAGCCAGAATTCCCAGTCTCCTAGGAGGCTATCAGCTCTGAGGACTTAAGCCCTGCCACCAAGGGAGAAGTAAGCCGCTATGGGGGCTTTTGGCCAGAGACTGCCTCACCCTTCACTGTGCCTAAACTGTTTCCATAGAATCAGAATAAACAAGTATCCACAGGGCAGAGATGCAATGGAAAATTAACCATGTGGACAATAAGATTATAAAATAGGAAAGGGGGAGGGTCCCGGGACAAAGAGCCCTGTGTCCCATAGACCTAGTCACCAAGCTCCCTCTCTTCTTAAATCTTGTTCCCCACCATGTACTCTTTGATCCAGCGTCACGGCCTCCTGGCTGTTCCATGAAGAAGACCCTCCCTCTTTCGGCTCCAAGCATTTTCTCTGGCTGACCCCCATGTCTAGAATGTTCTCCCTTCCTCATCGCCACCTCCTGCCTCCCCTGGCTTTCTTAAAGTCCCAACTAAGATCTCATCTTGGCCAGGAAGCCTTCCCCAACCTCCCTTAATTCCAGTGCCTTCGTTCTCTTCGTTATTTTCTATTTATCCTGTATGTAGCTTGTTTGTACCCACTTACTTGCTTATCTCTCCCCTTAAATTATGAACTTCCTGAGGGCAGGGACTGTCCTTTGCCTCTCTTTGTATCTTTAGCACAATGCCTGGCACACAGTACGTATTCAATAAATGCTTATTGTTTGATTGGTTGACATAGACCCTGCTTTGCTGATTGCCTGAATGACCTCTAGGCCAGAGTGGAGGAATAAAAACAATCAAACGGATAGGGGTCATTGCTTTTATGGCCTAGGGAGACCCTCACCATCTATGTAGGCTTCTACTGGGATACAAAATGAGTCTCTGGAAGGAACTGAGAGAGGCAAAGGGAGCCACATCTCACTGCAACTACTAAGGGGTTTGAATTTGGATCTATGTATTAATAGCCAATATATCTTATAATTATATATTATAATATGTAACGTATCTTCTTATATCTTTTGATGACTATCACAAAAGTAATTAGCACCATTATAATCTGAACATTTCATTCTTGGCTAGATCTTAAACCTAAGGTCCATTGGGACTAATTCAAAAACCTTCCCAGAGGCCCTAGGGCAGCCTGTGGCACCTCAGTCCGGACCCAGACCCAATGTATCCCCCTTCCCCATGCTACCCCAGCTCCTCCTGGTTATCTGAGGATCTGGTTTTGACCTTGGAATTAGACAAGCCATCCTCCAGGGGCATCGATTTAGCCATGGGGGCCACAGATGACATCTGTTTCATGACGTCCCACCACAGAAGGTCAGGGCCCAGGTCATTACGTTTGGTGGGGCCTGTGGAAGAGGGAGGAAAAAGACAAAATATGTAGCCTGAACCACAGGCCCAGCTCCCTGGAATTCGAGAAAGGACAGAAGACACAGACCCTCCCCACCCCTTATCACCCCAATGACCATTGAGGTAAGCATACCACTTATGACCAACTGGGTAGAGGTTGAACTCTTAAGACATTAAGGTTCCTCCCAGACCTGACAGGTGAGCTTTTAGAAAGTTCACCTTCGAGCTCTGCCATTCTGTGTTCTAAAGCAGGGATGGGGAACCTGCTATTTCGAGGCCACGTGTGGCCCTCTAGGTCCTCGAGTGTGGCCCTTTAATTGAATCCAAACTTCATAGTGAAGGGGTCCCCCATCCCTGTTCTAAAGTCTCTCTCTAAGCCATGGTTTCTTAACCTGAGGTCTATGAATTTAGTGTTTTTTTATTGCTAAAACTTTTTTTTGATAAATATATTTCGACATAATTGATTTCTTTCGTAATCCTATGTATTTTGTCGCATGCATTTAAAAACATAGGTTTTTGCCAGACTCTTGAAAGGGTCCAGGATGCACAAAAAGGTCTAAGCTCTGAGATTCGATGACACTGACATCTGTCACAATTGAGTCAGGTAGTTTGTTTCCTGGAAATAGGGTGATGGCTGAGAAGACCAACACAACTCCAGAAGGTGGGCTGGGTAAACCTCTAACATACTGCCAAGACCTCATTGCCTCCAGGAAACCCAGCCCAAGGCTGTGTTACCTGTCAGGTAGCTGACGAGGATGCCACCCAGCACTGTGGTCAGAGTGCCCAAGGCCCCGTAGTACAGGTAGGAGATGGCGTAGAAGTCATCAGCAATAGTAGGCCTGTGTGGAGCGGACCGTCATCAGCTTGGCCACCCCCAGCCCCTCTTATCCACCACACTGCCCAAAATACAGGCCCTGCTTGGGATGGCTAGCGCTGCCCTGAGCCCAGCCCCAGACATCCCCTGCTTGTTTTCTCTCGGATTCAGCCAACATTTTTTTTTTTTGGTCTTTTCTTGAAACCAGAGGATCCCTGAGGCCAGGGCCATATCTAGAAGTGGGTCGGGTTGCTTTCAGTAATATTAAGCAGCTCCTCATTGGAGGTCTCCAAGCAGAGACTGAATAACCATGTACCAGGAGTGCTGGAGAGAGGATTCCTGTTCAGGTACGGGTGGATCAGATGGACCCTGAGATTCCTTCTAACGCTGGTATTTTATTATTCTGTTTCTACCTCTCAGCCTCGGGGCTCCCTGAGGGCAGGGTCATCTCTCCTTTCCTCACCTGTCTCCTGGGGCAGAAATAGTCCTTGGTGGAAGTGTTCCCATGATCACGGTGATATTTAGACCCTCGCTGGCATTGTAGAGTGCACAGTGATCTGTGAACGTGGGCAACACACCCATGGTCTGTGGGCTCGGTGGGTACAGAGTGGCCCCCACGGCCACCCAGAAGGAGAGTATGAAGCCTAGGCCCAGGCCTGAGAAGACACCCTGGAAGAGAATCACAGCACTTAAAACTATAAATGACCTTAGAGATCATCTAATACAACCCCCCATTTTACAGATGAGAAAACTGAGGCCCAGAAAGGGGGCACGAATGGCCCATCCTGACACAGGAGAATGGGACCGGATGAAATGACTCATCTGTTATTGAGACCCTGTACCAGGCATATTCCATTCTGTGTGGGCAGCCCTAAACCCTAAAACTCCACCTTGGGAGCCAGACCTGGTAGATGGTGGGGTAGAGTAAGATGCTAGATTTTAGTTTAGTCTCTTGGACTTGAGCTAGACTTTATCCCTCCCTGGGCCTCAGTTTTCCCATATGAGAGTGTTGGACCTGATGCTTTCCAAGGTGCTGTTCTACCTGACAGTTCTGTCCCTTACCCTTTCAACCTTCAGGGCCTGGGGGAGTACAAACAGCTTACCACAGTGTTGCAGACTGGAATGAACATGCCCAGGACAAAGGCTCCAAGCAGCGGACCGCTGATCACACCCATAACAGTGAAAGAGCCCTGGGGAGGGAAGAGGGTGGTCAGGGTTTGGATCTGGGTCTCCCTTCCTCCTCCTCACTACCTGAGAGACGAGCTCTGCCCTCAGAAAGAGCAGGGGCTGCTGTCAGGAAAGAAGCCTTGGGTTCCCGGGAATGGGGAGACTCAGAAGCCCTCATTTCAATAAATAATAGACGTTTATATAATTGAATAGAATGGAATTAGTCCTGTAGGCCACTGGTTCTCTGTGACTCCCTTCCCTCCCCTTAGCCTCAGTTTCCTCATTTGTTAAATGGGGATAATAGACCCTCTATGGTCTTCCTCTCATGATTGAGAGAATTAAATAGGAAAAAAATGGACAAGAAATCACTCTGTAAATCCCCAGTCCAAGGGTGCGAGCTGCTCCCTGAGGGAAGGGTCATATTAACCCCCAGTCTTGGGGGCTCCCCATGGACTGGATGGTGTCTCTCCCTCTTCCTCCCTGGAGGCTGTGGGTTGAGTTCAGGGTTTAGCCCTCTCTGGTTGCTGGGAGCCAGGGTCAGCCTGCTGGGGCATGGACCATCCCCAGGGCAAGGGGCTCACCTGAAGGACCCCACCTCCAAGCAGAGAGGACAGGGCGGCCACTGTCAGACAGGCTGAACCATAGATGAGAGCTGGTAAATGTCAGAGACAAGGAGGAAAGGCCATTAGCAGGGTTGCCCATAGGAGAGGGGGCATCTGGACCCCTAGGATTACTCCTGGCATCTGAGCCTCAGGCCGGGCCAGCTGTCGGGGGACTCCAACCTTGGCTTTGGGGAGCTGACACCTGGAGGCCCCCTAATGGTCCAGCCTTGAGCCATCTCCCGAGGAAGAGGCCCAAACCAATAGTCTACCCCTTCCCCTTTGCTCCCTGAGTGCCTATCCTTCCCTTGCTGCCTCCACCCAGGACTTACACAGCCCCTTGGAGATCAGAGTCAGTTTTCGAGAGCTGAGGGTTGGTAACCGAGGTTTGATCAGATCCTCCACAGTGACAGCGGCCATGGCATTGATGCTGGTGGATGCCGTGCTGGGGAGACATTAGGTGTGAGAGCAGGAGCTACCTTCCCCCCTCCCCAATCTGGAGCCCATCCCCTCCATATCTTCCTAGCCCACAAGCCATATAGGATCCCAGAATGCCACCACAAAAAAAAACACCCTGAGAACCCAGAACCCAGAATATCAGATCTAAGAGAGCCCTTAGTACCTAGAACATTAGAACATCAGAGCTTAGAACACAGAATATCATATCTGGGAGGAATCTTAGTGCCTAGAATATAGCAGGTCAGATCTGGGAGTGCCCTTACTACCTAGAACATAGAATATCAGATCTAGGAGGGCTGTTGGTACCTTAAATACACAATGTCACAGGTTGGAGGACCCTTAGAATATAGAATATCAAAACTGGGAGGGACCTTAGAAAGAAGAATGTCAAAGTTCAGGAGGGAGGAACCTTAGGACATAGAATGTTAGAGCTGGGAGGGCCCTTAAAAAGTAGAATATCAGGGCTTGGGAGTGCCTTTGAACACGGAATGGCCGAGATGGGATAGTGCTTACAGACTGTGGAATCCAATGCCTTCATTATTCTGAGAGATAGCCTGCCTAAGGGAACTTGTCTATGTGGAGTTTTATGGGATATTGTAAAGGTCGGGGGCCCGCTCTGCCCAGGGGATATTAGATCCTACCTTAAGGTGCCACTGTAGGCACAGGCAAGGAAGAGTCCAGGAACACCGGGGTAATCCTGGAAGATGTCCAGCACCAGGTAGGGCACGTACTGGGGGAGAGAGAGGATGCGGAGAAGGACCGGAGCTTATTTGGTGTTTCCCATTCCTCCCATCACCGGGGAGAACATGGCAAACTTCCCTGCTGTTCTCCCCCAGGATGGGCCCGCTAAGCAGTGGTGCCCATGCCCACCTGGGGGGAGCAGGATGAATAAGAACATTCAAAGTGGTGATGTGGGGCATGGCTGCAGAATCTGTGTATAATGGACTGGGAGACAAAGGCACCCTCTGACAGGGGGCTTAGAGAAACCCATGAAAAAAGGGCAGACCATTGAGGCTATCACAGAATTACAAGCACTGGGAGAAGGGCTCCTCATTTTACAAATGAAGAAACTGAGGCAAAAAGAGGTGAAACAATGACTTGTCCAGGGACACACAACTAGTCCATAGAAGAGGCTGGATTCTAACCTAGGTCTTTTGACTCCGAATTCATTGCTTTGCACGTACTGCCTCCTACTAGCTGAGTGACCTTGGGCACCAACCCTTGACTTCTCTGTTGACTCATCTTCCTCATCTATGTTCTCTCTGCCTCACAGGTGCTGCCTGGAGCACATGTGGAACCTCATCCCTTCATCTCTCACTGTTCTGGGCCACTATGAGACTAGGAGGTTGGGGGATTCCCATTGGTGAAAAGGGGAGGGAGTGCCTTGGCAGGAGTGAAATCACAGGTCCAAACCCAAATGACCACCAACATAACAGTAACAATAGTAATGAAAATCAATGACCCTTTGTAGACATCTGCCTCCTAGGGACTTTCCCTGCACACACACATGCACACACACTCACACTCTCACACACTCACGCTCACACACACACTCATACACACTCACACATACACTCTCTCACACACACACTCACACTCACACATACACACTCACACTCACACTCACACACACTCATACACACTCACACACATATACACACTCACACACATACACACACATACACACTCACACACATACACACACTCACACTTACACACATACACACAAACTCACACACACTCATACTCATACACACACTCACACACATTCACATACACACTCACACTCACACATACACACACACTCACACACATACTCACACATACACACACTCACACACACACTCACACATGCGTGTGCACACAATCCCTAGTTCTGACCCCTAGGGCCACATACATCAAGCTTTCTCCCTACGGAGGCTTCCTAGAATGTCCAGGAGGGAAGGGTTCTTTGAACATAGAACATCGGGCTTCTCAGAGAGGAGGCAGCTGGACGCCCTGTTTACACACCAAAGGAGTCTAGCACCTAGATGCTTTTTGATGCAAGGAGTACTAGAGTAAGGAAGCTCTGGGTTCGAATCCCGTCTCTGACACCTGCTACGTCTCTGAGCAAACAGCCTACTCTCTCTGGGAATTCAGTTTCTTCATCTCCCAAATGGGGAGGATGACTGAGGCTAAAGCCTTCCTGGTTGCTAGGGGGTTCAAGGGAGATAATGCAAACCTTGAAGCGCTATGTAAAAGTCAATTACTATTACGAAGAAAAGGGCTGCTCCCTCTGCCCCTGAGAGCCCCGTGTTGTGAAGACACGGATTGTCACCTCACCCCCACTACACCTCTCCCCCAGCCCAAATACCCCCAGTCCCTGAAGCCGATCCTGACACGGTTTGTTGTCTAAGCTTCTCAGCATCCTGGCTGCCCTCCTGTGGACATAGGATTACAGACTTAGGGCTGGAAGGATCCTCAGAGGTCATGGAGTCTGGAACCCTAATTTTACAGACGAGGAAATTAAGTGATTTGTCCAAGGTCCCACAGGCAGTTAGCATTAGAGCCTCATCAAAGCCTGGAAGCCCAGGGCCCCTGATTCCAGGCTTTTCCTGCTAAGCTTCCATCCTGGCTAAAAGGATGACCAGGGGACTGACCACTGTGCTCTAGATAGAACTGAGCAGGACAGAAGATGCAGGAAGCAGCAGGCCTTCCCCATTCTGGAGGCAGAATCTCTACTCACTCAGCCTAAGGTCACAAGAGCTCTTCGGTCTGCTGGCCAGACCAGCTGAGCTGACACTCAAGAATTCACAATCTGTCCTCTTGAGGACGGCGATGTGTTACAGGGAGGAAGGATTATGGCATCTGGAGCTGGAAGGGACCTTTGAGGCAGCAACGTGGCCCACCGACTAGAGCTCTTCCCTGGAGTCAGGAAGATCTGAGTTTGAATCCGACTCACACAGTTACTAGCTGTGGAACCCTGGGCAAGTCACTTAACCCCTGCTTGCCTCAGCTTCCTCAGCTGTAAATTAAGGATCGAATAAGAGAATATTTGTAAAGTACTTAGCCCAGTGCCTGGCATATAGTAGATGCTTAATATATGCTTCTAGTCTAACTGCCTCATCTTACCGGAGGAAATAGGACCAAAAAGGTTAAGTGACTTATCTAACATCACCAGCTGGGAATTAGCAGGGATGGTATTTGAACTCAAGATCTGAGCCTCTCAGTTGAGGGCTCTTTCTACTGTACCACACTTCTTCCCTGTTTGGCAAGGCAGGATTGGAGGAATCTATATGTCATTTAGAATAAGGGTTGCTTTTGTTTGACCCTCAGGCTAAGAATGGTTTTTGCATTTTCAGTAAAGTTGTATAAAAGCAAGCAACTGGCCAGACCTGGCCCTCATGCTGTAGCGTTCCAATCCATGATCTAGCAAAGGAAGGAAATAAAGGTTTACAGAGCACCTACTATATTCCTCTACCCTTTGCCCTAATGTCAGACCTAGCAGAGGCCTTTATATACCTTGTCTCCACCTAGTTAATTGCCAGCCGTCTCTTCCATTGGGGGTAGGTGGCACAATGGATAGAGTAGGGACTGGGCCAGTCTCCCAGAGTTTACCTGGTCGGGAGCAGAGATGTGCCCAGCCCGGAGTGGGTCACAGTCTCTGTACAGGGCAAACATGATGATACCACAGGCTACCGCACTGCCCACAATGAGGAAGAGCCCCGTCTGGTTGATCAGCAGTGCCCTAGAGTTGGAGAGGGAGGTGGGCATGTCAGCAAGACCCAGTGGCCTGTGGTCTGGGGAGCCTGCCTTATGGGAGCCAGACGGGGGACGGAAGGAGGATGCAGACAAGGAGAAGGCTGGAGGGATCAGGAACATGGACACCCGCTCGAGGATCAGAGCTCTGAGACGGGGCCAAGAGACCTGAGTTTGGGAGAACATGATTATCTGCTGCCAGGATCTGACGGGAAAAGGAACATGGACTGTTTTGCTTGGCTCTGAGACAGGGCAGGTCCTGGAATAAAGGGGTCATGTGGCAAAGAGGTCCATCTAGACTAAATATAAGGGAGAATTTCCCGACCATCAGAGCTGCCCAGATGTGGAACTGACTGTTTTGTGGCCCTGTTCTCCCCGCTGCCTCCCAAGCCCTGGACTCAGGCACTCACAGTCTGGCCTCCTGCTCGGTCCTGCAGGCCACGTAGCGCTGGACCTGGGCCTGGTTCACCCCGTACATGGACAGCCACACCAGGGTGCCTCCCACCACAAAGGTCCAGAAGGTGTAGCGTCTCCTTGGGTCCAGGTCAAAGCTGTAGGGAGAAGGTTGGGGTGATGGGGAGAGAGCAGGTTCAGAGCTACACACTAGGAAGATTAAGGGGGGAGCAGGGCATGGAGACCAGGGATTGTCCTTAATCAGAGGCAGCCTCCAGGTGAGGGCTCTGGACACAATCAGGTCCTGCTGGGGCCCTGTCCCTAGCCCCCAGCCTTCTAAAGCAGCAACAAATATCATCTCTGCTGAGTAGAGTCATAGACTGAGAGCTGGGAGGGACCTCAGAGGACTTTGATTTAACAGATGAGGAAACTGAGGCACAGAGAGTTTAAGGCATTCACCCAATCCCACACCTAGTAAGTTCAGAGGAAGAATCTGAGCCAGATCTGGCATTCTGTCCACTACGCCCCACTGCCTCTGCCTTGGCTGGGTCCTTGTCCTTCTAGGGGCAGGGGGAGAAGAGATGGAGAAGAAGTCTAATTGGCAGGAGAGGTGGGGGTAGGTGGGGGAGTCGTGGGGTCAGGAAACAGTCTGCAGGCACCAGTAGCCCCGACATCAGCCTGGCTCCTACCCTGACCACGACCCTCCTGGTCTCTAATGACAGCATCTCTGACCTCAGTCCTCAAGAGATTCTAAACCCAGCCAGGGCTGATCCTTTTCCTCAACAGTTGGGGGTCACAAAGAACTGGACAAGACTGAAACAAGTCAATCACAACAACTAACATCGCTCCTTGCTGACTCCCAGTTCAAAACAATAATCTACTCACTTGTAGCCAAGAAGTATGGTTGGCAAGACAAAACGTATTAACCGTGTGAGACAATATATGCCTCATTCCGCACCCATGGTCCACCACCTGAGTTCAAAAAGGAAGGAGGCTCTTCCCTCACCTGTCCCTAATCAAATCTGAAACCCTAAAATTCATCCCTAATCAAAGTCTTACCCCAACGCCAACCCCAAGGCCTGAACCATTTCTTCACCCACCCCAGCCCCAACTCCAAACTCATTCCCTACCACAAACCCTAAATTCATTGCATGACCCTAAGGCAGTTTCATTAACATATATTCAGTCCCTGTTCTATGTGAAATCTGGGGCCAATCTATTCTTTGCCCTAAGGTCAAACCTAGTCTGGACCTTTATCGCCTCTCTCCTAGCCTCCTAACTGGATCCACTGCCTCCCATCTCTCCCTGATACAATCCAACCCATCTGCCACACAGCTGCAAAAATAATCTTGAATGGAATTTCTTTTTCTATCTTCCCCCTGTTGGGTTTTGTTATTAATCTAAAGAAAGGCTGATGATTTTTCCAGGACCTTTTTTTTTTTTATCCTGAAACTTTACTGAGGCTATTATTTCAGTTAATTGTTTCATTGAATCTTTATGGTCCTCTAAGCAAACCATGGTCACCTGCAAAGAGAGAATTTTGCCTTCATTCTTCCTATGCTAATTGTTCCCTTTCTTTTTCTTCTCTCGTGGCTACAGCCGGGGTTTCTATATCACTATCAACTAATAACTGGGCTAATCGATGTCCTTACTCACCTTTGATATGGCAAACTAAATTTCCTGCAGCACTAGTCTGATCACGTCAGGGTGGTGCTCAAAAATCATCAGTGGCTCCCTATTGCCTATAGGCAGAGGTTTTAAATTCCTCACCCCAGCATTTAAAGACCTCTATGATCTGGCTATGGACTTTGCTCTCTACCAGTCAAACTTTATGTTCCTCATTAGAACTTAGATTTTTTTTCAGCATTTACATAGCCCTTTACATAGATTTCTGAAGCACTTTACAAATATTATCTCATTTGATTCTCACAACAACCCTGGGAGGGAGGTGTTATTATGATCCTCATTTTACATATGAAGAAACTGAGGCAGACAGAGGTTAGGTGACTTTGCCCTGGTTCATGCAATAAGTGTCTGAGGCTGGATTTGAACGCAGGTCTTCTTGACTCCAGTTCTCTATCCATTGTGCCCCTAGCAGTCTCTAGATTATGAGCTTCTTTAGGGCAGAGGCAGTTTTTGCCTATCATTGTAACCCCAGTACTTAGCACATAGCAGGCTCTTAATACATGGTGTTTAATTCAAATTCAACAATTCTACCTTCTGTCTTGGGGCCTTTTCACAGGCTTTCTTCCATCCTGGAAATTTCTCCCTTCTCTCCTCTTTCTCTTAGCATCCTTAAGCTCGCTTCATGTCTCAGCTGAGGTACCCCCTTCTCCAGGAAGCCCTGATCCTCATGACTGCCCTTTTCAGTTGACCTCACATTTACTTATCTGTACACACACCACGTTTTGTAGCAGAATGGAAGTCCCAAGAGATGAATACAGTGAGTGTTGGTTGAGCTGAACTGTGGGGTTTAAATTTGTTTCCTAAGCTTGCCTCTGTATCAGGGGATTTCTTAACATGGAATCCACAGACACAGATTTCAGGGGGTCTATGAACTTGGATGTGGGAAAAATGACATCTTTACTTTCACTAACATCTAACTGAAACTTAGTATTTCCTTCAATTATGAATTTTAAAGCCATATATTCTGAGAAGGGGTTTATAGGCTTCAAAGGGGTCCATGCACAAAAAGGTGAAGGATTCCTGCTCTAAATATAACCCTAAGCCTAACTCCAAACTTATCTCCTCACCATGCTGCCAGCCCCAAAATCATTCCTTAATCCTCATGCTAACCCTCAAACCATCTCTTTCTCTGATCTCTAACATTGGCTCTAGCACCTGTCCTGGGTCCCTTGGAGCAGAGGACCACCAAACTCAGAGTGCAACCCAAAGCAGATTAAAATCTAACTGGGAAATGCTTAACAAAAATAAATAAAAATACAATAAATAGAAATAATGTCAATTTACGGTTTTTCTAAATCAATAGTCTGCCACAGGGATCCATTTCTATTGAAATTGGACACCCCTGCCTTGCAGCCACCAGCATTCCACATGTCATGTTCTCTGAGAACATTCTGATACCTGGAATACTTTTCCCTTTTAAAATATGAAGCCACATGACGGCCATCTCCGGTCATCCTGATCTATATCTCCACTGGGCCCATTTGGCTCTGGAGGAGAAAGTGAGGCTGGTGACCTTGCATAGCCCTGCCTCACTTAAATCCAATTCATTTGCAAGTCGTGGCATGATCTTCCTGAGGCCATGGTCCTCTTTGAGAATGGAAAACAGACAACAGATGAAGCCGCGTGTATACCTCATAAGTAGCAATTTTTAATAGGAAATTGGTAAATTTCCCTTCTTTTGCTCCCCAGAGTCTCCTGTTCCTCCTATCTATGGGATTCCGTGTTTCCCTCCCTCCAAGACCCCAAGAGCAGCATTGCTGGATTCTGTCAGCAGATTTCAATAATCTTCTGTTTCCCAGAGCCTAATTGGCTGGGGAGGTGCTGTATACATCAATGCGGACTTGTCCATCTCCATATCTCTTACATCTATCCCCTTCTCTCCATTGGCACAGCTTATCACACTAGCCCCTTTTAACCTTTCTTCTGGACCTATTATAATAATCTTCTGGTTAAAAAAAAAACCAAAACATTCCCCTCTAGAATCCATCCTCCACAGAACTACCAAACAGATAATCCTAAAGCAAAAGACTGACCATGTCATGTCCTCTGTCCTCACTTCTACCTCTTGGAAGTCCTAACTTCCACCTCTTGGAAGTCCTAACTTCCTTTCAAGCTCAGCCCAAGGCTCCATGAAGCCTTTCCTGACTTCCTCATCCTCCACTCCCCCAAGTACTTAGTACTCTCTCCAAAAAATTTGCTTTGCATTTAAAAAAATTATTTTATATTTATTTCTCTGTCTATGTGTTCTCTGCCACAGTACGTCCACTCCTTGAGGGGAGGCTAACTGTTTTGTGTCTTCTCTAGCACAGTGCGGGGTGCATTATAGAATGAATGGGAAAAAAAAGATTTATTAAGGGCTCACTACATGCCAGGCACTGGAGATGCAAACACAGAGAGACATAATCTGTGACCTCAAGGAGCATCCATTCTAATAGAGGCACCTAAAGGGGAGGCATTTTGGTCTGGGAAGTCACAAGGGTGTTGAGTCAAGCCATTTGGCAGTAGGTTGGATAACCAGCTATTGAATTGAATTGTTCCTCAATTCAGTTCCTCCCCCCCTCCCTCCTCATTGATGTCAGGGATCTAGACGTAAGGGCAACTACTCACTCATCCACGTTGATGCGGGAGTGATTGTGCGCAATATCCAGCACCCGCTGGGCACCCCCAACCAGAAGCGTGCCGTGGATCAAGATGGCAACAAACCCAGAGAGCATCACAAGCACCTGGAACACATCTGTCCAGATGACAGCTTTCATGCCTCCCTGTAGGGCAGGGATGGGGAATGAGGAGGGGAGAGAGATGAGGCTTGTTCAGTACCCCCAAACCCGCTGTGGGAGAAGGGGTGTATGGGAGGATGGAGGTGGGAGGAGGCAGAGGATGTGCATCCCAGGGTCTTCCTAGAGGGAAGAAATGGCCATGCCCTTCAACTGTCCATTCCTTTGCCTGGTGTTGGGGGCATGGGCCTGAACTGCTTGAGGAAAGAGGTCCCACTTCGGTAGAAATTCATCATATGAAGAAGCCCCTGACCAGTGGCATCACAGCTGGTACCCCAGCATTGAGGCCTTTGAAATGTTCTGACCCATTTGCTGATAAGAAGGATCTCTTCCATTGTTGTAACCCTTTACACAGGATTTACAACTGGAAAGGACCTTTGAGTTCATCTAAGCCAGCTCCAATTTACAAATGACTATTTCCCCCCATGTGTTATTTATTCTAATTCTCATGACAACCCTTGGAAGGAAGTGGGAGGTTGTTAACCCTATTTTACAGATGGGGAAATTGAGGCCCAGAGACAGGAGGGGATTTTTCTGAGGTCACACAGCCAATCAGAAGTAGAGATGCACTAAAACCTAGGTCTCCTAGGTACCAGTGTGGGCTCTTTGAGGAGCCCTGGATATGTCTCTTGACTACCAACAGGTCCTTCTCCTCTGGTGACACTGAGGACACCCCAAGTATCTGGAGGAGGAGAATAGACCAATATGAGGTAGGCAGGGTTGGGAGGAGGTTGGGATGAGCAGGGCTACATATTGGGCTGGGCTGGACCCCCTGGGGATGCTTACCACAGTGGTGTAAAAGGTGCAGATGGCACCGGTCGAAAGGAGAGATGCCCAGATATCCAGCCCTGTTACTGGAAACAAGAGAGTCACAGTGGGCAGACAGGGAAAGAAGGGGTCTTGTAACTCCACTCCCTCAGACTGGGGGCTCTCCAAAGCTAGGGGTCATGTCTGTCCTCAGACCAAGGGCTCCTTGACAGCAGGACCATGTCTCCTCTCAAACTGGGGGCTCCCTGAGGCCAGGGCCATGTAACTGCTCAGACTGGGGGTTCTCTGAGGCCAGGGCTATGTCTCCCCTCAGACTGTAGGTTCCCTGAGGTCAGGGCTGTGTCTCCCCTCAGCCTGAAGCCAGGGCCACACCTCTCTCTCAGTCTGAGGTCTTCTGAAGGTCAGGGGACACCTGTAGATCTCACTCTGGGTCATACCTTGGTTGAGAATCAGGGCAGGAGCGTAGATGACAATTCCTGTGTATAGCATCTGTCCAGGAAGGTAGGGAAATGAGTCCTAGTCATGCCTCATGGGGACTGGATATAATGACCCCGCTCCATCCCTCCCCTTCCCCTCCCCACCCCCATCAGGGACCTTTCTGTCAAACGTCAGCCCCTCTCCACAAAGTAGGCTGGAGGTGATCTCCCAGGCCCCCAGCCTCTGGGGTGATGAGCATCTAAGCTGTCCTTTGGCCTTCCCTGGGGGCCTGGCAAATGTTCAAACAGGAATTTCTTCCCAATGTCTGCCCTCACTGCCTGTCCCTTCTGGTTCTCCCACTTCCACTCACCTGTCCTGACCTCAGCCTCCGAGGGATTTGGAAGCCGAGGCAAAGAGTCATCTCAAAGAGGGAGACTTTGGGACTTGCCTGGCCCTGCCCAAAGCCCTGGACACCTTTTCTCCACTGGAGAACCCAGAGGCCACTCAGAAGAGAGGACCCTGAGCGACTCAGCTGGGGAACCCAACGACAACTCATTTGGGGGAGCCGGGGAGTCAAGGTTGAGGAGGCTGAGTCAGCAGAGGGGTAGGTTTGGGGCTGGGGGCTGGGGGCTATGGAGGGAAGCAGGGGAAAGTGGCTCACCGTGCCAATGACGTACTGGACAGTGCCGCACAGACGGACCGAGCGGCTAAACCTCAGCTCCAGATACTGCAAGGGGAATGGGAAGGGAAGGTCATATTCTCTGCACCTCCCTGGGACTGGCCCCAAGGCCATTACGGCCTGCCTTCCCTTGAAGGACATCCAGCCCTAACGAGAGACCCCTGCACTGGAGCATCAAAACAGAGAGACCTTTAAGTGCCAAAATAGCCCCATTTTACAGAGGAAAAGACTGAGGCTCAGCTTGCCTCTCCTGCCCTTGTGCACACATTCACAAAGACACATACATCATGGAGCATCCCACTCCCACCCTCCCTTCACGAGCCCTTCCCTGGACCTGCACAAAGCCATCAGCACACAAACAGATGACTCACATGCACGCATCCACACGCATCCATGGAGCGCACTTTCCTTCTCCCTGCCCTTTGAATCCAAATATACCCAGTGATGATAGGGTTTGTGTGTGTATGTGTCCGGGGATGCTGCCAGGTGGGTGGACTGATGTCTTGTCCACAGACAACCAAAGCCAGGGTGGTCTCTGGGGTCCCTCCTCCTCCCAGGAGCACTCCTCTCTTGCCTATCTGGGCTCCAGCACTATCTCCAACCCCTATCCTTGCCCACTCTAACCCTAACAGGGGCACTGATTCCAGACCCTCCTGGGAGTGCAGGCTGGGCTGACCACAGAGCACTCTTGGCCAGGCGCCAGGCCTAGAGGCTGATGAAGGTGGCCGTTGGGGAGTGAGGTGGGGAGGGGAGCGGGCCAGTCTCTAAGAGTGCCTCTCATCCCCCAAGGATCCCTCAGCCCTGCCTAGTTACCTGATATGTGCTGGTAAGGCCCAGGCGGTAGAAGACAGGGAGGAAGAGGTAGGCAGTGAGAAGGGTGTTGAGCACCTGACCCAGGCACATCCAGAGGAATTTGAGCCCATAACGGTAAGCCTCGGCAGGCACTCCCAGCACCTGGATGGCCGACATAAAGCTGGCTGCCAGGGAGAGGCCCACGGGCACAGCTCCCATCTGCCGTCCACCTGTAAAGAAGTCTTCCGCAGTCTTCTGCCCACCCCGGGCCAGCCCGAAGAAGAGCCCGATGGCCGTGGAGACCAGCAGCATGAGACCAAAGACTCCATAGTCCCAGAAGCCAAAGGTAGGCCGCTCAGGGGCCCAGGCCTCCATCCCCACCGGCCCACCTGCCAGGGCTCCCGGCTCCCTTGCCTTCTCTGTCTACACCTCTTGCCTTCAAAGTCCAATCTCCCCTCTGATTGTTCTGGCTAAGGACTTGGCAAGAAGGAAGCAGGAGGAAGCAGCCTGGAAAAAGTAAACAGGGAGAAATAAGGGGAAAAGCAGCAGAGTGGGGGGTCCCCTGCCTGCCTAAGGGGCTCCCCTGAGCTGAGCCAGAGGAAGGATGCTGAAAGCTCACCCTAAAACAAGGACCCTGGAATCCTCGCCCTACAAGAGAGCTCGCTCCCTGATTCCCAGCTCTCCAGGTCTTGGACCCCACTCAGCCCACCCTGTCTAGGTGCCCTCCTTCCCCCCAGTCTCTCAAGTTTGGGAAGGGAGTGTCCTGAAGTGGGAAGTTTGGCTATTGGGGTCCCCCACTTGTCTCTGCAGCTGTCCTGCTGGCTGACAGCCTTCCCACACACCAGCCTGCAGAGAATGGGGCTGACGCTGAAGTCTGAGCTGGGAATCCCAAGGACTCAGGGAAGGGAAAGGGCCACAGAGCTTTATTAGTCTTCCTAGGGGTTACTCAGGCCCCGCCCACTCATGACATCCCAAGGAGAGGGTGTCTCCCTGGGGGCGGAAGGGTGTGTCTGTGTGTGTGTGTGTGTGTGTGTGTGTGTGTGTGTGTGTGTGTGTGATGTAAGAGGAAGGAGAAAAGGAAGAAATACTTGCTCTGAGATTTCTTTCTCCACCTCTATTCTCTGGATTTCCAGAGTCTGGGGCGCCATCCCTACCGGGTGGTGGGGATTTCTAAAGAGCAGACTGGGCAGTGGGTGTGGCAGGGAGGGTGGTGTGGGAGGCAGGCAAACAGACTGGACTGGAAGATGGTAAATTCCCATCCATGACCTTGCAGTCAGGGAAGGACCACTTCACCACGGGTCTCTCCCCTCACTCCTCTTCCTCAGGGATTCCCAGAGCCTGCCTAACTGTCCACACCACCAAAGTCCCTGTCAGAGGGGTTTTCTCCCAGGGCCAGTGGCATCCTTTCGCTCCACGCCACGCCAGCAGGGCAGGTTTGGGGATAGAGATTTGGAAGGGACCTTAGAAGTCAATGAGGAGATTGGCACACCACCTGAGTCCAAGCGCCGGTTTGGCCACTGACTCGTTCTATGGTCCTGGGTGAGGCCCTTACCTTCTCTGGGGTTCATTCTCATCCAGGTTGTAGGGAAAATAACCCTGGAGTGTCCTCCCCACCACTCGGGGCTGGCTAAACACCGTATGAGAGGATGGAAGGGGAAGGCGCTGGTTCAGACCCTCCCGGAGTCCTGGGCTGCCCAGGGTTCCGTGTGGACCCCAATGTCCCAGGTGTGAGCGTGGATGCTATGAGGAGGCTGCCTTCCTCTCCGTGTGTCTTCACTGCCCCCTCCTGGGAAGAGAGATGAGAACCAGAAGGTCTGAAGAAAAAGAATTAAAGAACCATTAGAGTGTTAGAGCTGGGAGGGCCCTAAGAACAGAGAGTGTCAGAGCTGTAAGGATCGTGAGAACACAGGATGTTAGGGCTGTAAGGACCCTGAGAACAAAGAGTGTCAGGGCTGTAAGGACCGTGAGAACACAGGATGTCAGGGCTGTAAGGACCCTGAGAACAGAGAGTGTCAGAGCTGGGAGGTTCCTTAGAACACAGGATTTCAGGGCTGTAAGGACCCTGAGAACACAGGATGTCAGGGCTGTAAGGACCCTGAGAACAAAGAGTGTCAGGGCTGGGAGGGCCCTTAGAACACAGGATGTC